TTCAATCCCCCAGCACCACATGCCAGCCAGCCCCGCCCCCTGGTGGGCTGAGCTGGCCACACACACACACACACACACACACACAAAATAAATAAATAAATATTTTAAAAAAACAAGTTCAAGCTTGATTTGACAACTTAGCCATTATACCCTGTGTCAAACTAAGTAATTTTGGGGGGACCTGCCGGTTAGCCTAGTTGTTTAAGCACCTGCTCATGCAAATGCAGTCCGGCGCAGGATACTGGGGTTTGATCCCCACCTCCATGAGCATTACCTGACCCGCCCTTAAGGCAGCCTGAGCCAGCCAAAAAAAAAACTAAATAAAAAACTTTGTTTTTGGAAATCTAACCATGCATTTCAATGCAAAGGTCCTGGGTTCAATACCCCCATGTACACTGAAAAAAAAGACTAAGAAAGTGGAGGGGCTGTAAATGCTGCCTGCCATTTCTGCTAGGTTTTCTTTGGACCCAGTGTTAAAAAATGTAAACTCTTCAGGTTCGGCAAGAAGCCACTGAAGAGCATCTATGCCAGCAGGACTGTCTTTGTACGGATGCTGGCATAGTCTGTGTCCTGGCCTCAACACAAGGACGAGGTTCCTCCTGCAACCCTTAATTTTTTTCAGTCACGAGTATTCTTAGTGTGCACAGTCTGAAGGGGCAGGCGGGGTGAAGGCTTCTACACCCACCTCTCATGCTGTTGTAAGCTTGTAGCAGAACTTGCAGGCTCTGCATGCTGGGCCTGGCCTGACACAAGCCACTCAGGGTAAGGTGCTCTCTTCACCTGACGGAAGTGGGGCATTTCGCCGAGGTCTCAGGTATCTGGGTGGCGGCCTTAGAATAGTAAATGCCCAGTGTTAGCTGCCTTGAGTGGCCTCACAGCCTAGGAAGCTCTGAACATTTTGCTCTAATGCCTCCTTCTCTGCACTCCTCCAACCCTCCCTGCCCCTTTTATGAATGAACATGCCGAGCATAGAGCACGCATGTTTCCGGCTGTGACATGGACATGCCTAGTGTGGACCTGATTTGCTCCACCTTCCAGGGGCCTCCCTCCCTGCAGCCAGAGCCAGGACATGATGCTCACGAGGCTTTTGCAGGGCTCCCGGAGCTCATAGGGTTCCTCAAGGGAAGTCCAGACCCACAGGCACTTCAGTCCTGATGCTGTCGCAAATGACAGAACCTGTTCAGTTAGAAATATTTTATAGTTTTAAATTTATACACAATACCTACGTAGAAATAGATACATAATTTTTTATTACACTTACATTTTTAAAAAAGGACATTTGTCATTTCAAATGGTTTCTGCTTACATTTTTAAAAATATTTATTTATGTATTTCCCGTCTCAACCTCTCCAGCGCTGGGATTACACGCATGTGCCACCATGCCTGGTCTCGGTGACCAACACATTGTGCTGGCACAGCATGTGGTGCTAGGGATTGAACCCAGGTCCGCATGCTGGCCAGGCAGTTGCTTAGACCACCAAGCTATCTTGCCCAGGCCCTCGGCTTACATTTTATCTAAACATTGTTCTGGGCCCATTCCACTTGATTCCTGGTGATTTTCACCACTGTGTGGTGCTTTCAGATGGAGACTTAGATCTGCCACCTCTGTCCCTGAGTCACACATCACTGATCCCATTCCAGGCCAGATGAAATTTTATAGAGGTATCACTTCAAATTCCTAAAAATGAGTTCGGAATGTGCCTAGACTTTCCTTTTACACACACATCTGTGTCATCGTACTTTTGATCTTTGCCTGTGTGCATAACTTACTAGGGGTAAGAAGTGCAGAAGTGCCGTCTGCCCTGTGCAGAGCCCGGCATGCATGTCTTGCTCTGCTTGGTGCGCCACTGCCTGTAACTGTCCCAGTGTGAACACAGAGACACCTGAACGTCTGTTGAGCCAGTCTTCTACATTCTGAGGATCGGGTGGAGCAGCATAATGAATGAAGAGAGGAAATCACACTGTGGCTTCCATCTACCACACAGGCATTAGGGGAAGTGGCATGTTTCCTCATTTAGGGTGTGGGTTTGTCCCTCTCTGTTGCTTTAACCAAGTGGATACTGAAACTAGGGGAAAAAAATCCAAGAAGCTGTATGTCAGATAAATTCTTCAAAGGGAAGACAATTTAGATGACAAACATCTTTCACAAAGCAATTCATAGTTTATGGTGTCTGACTATCTACCACCAAAAGGAAGAGAAAGGCATCTTCATTATCAGATTTTAAATATCTTTAAAAATAATAAATTTTAAACTATGATTTTCCTTCTAAAGCTGTCACCTATTTTGGCTCCTGGACCTAATTCTCTCTACTGAAATCTAGGCAACCTCCAGACAGAACTTAACTGCCACTTCGGCTGTTCCTGTATGCTGGTGATGTACCCAAGTATCAGCCTTAGGAGGAATTCCAAACTCAGCCAATCACAGATGCTCAGCCCTAGGGGCTCCCTGACTGCTGGCCTTGGGACAGCTCAGTGCAGTATTTATGATCCAAGCATAGCCCAGAGACATTTGTCCTGTGTTTGAAATGTCACACTGTTAGTGGACACCCTGCTAGAGCTGTCCTCGACCTCAAAAATGTACTGCATGGGAAGGAGACTAAGCAAGAATTAACCAGAGCTGTCAAGCCATCAGCTAATCTCTGCTCTTAGCAGTAAATACTAATCTTTGACTTCAAATTGGCAGCCAAGGGGAAGAAATCTAATGGCGCACGATGCGCTGTAACTAGCAATTTTTACAAATCAGTCATCTGGTTTGAAACCTGTTCGGTCTTTCATGGAAATTTTTCCTGAGTTGGAGTATAATGAGGTTGCGCTTTCTTCTTTTAGCAACAAAGGATGAACTTCCACTGTCTTAAAACAAGGTCCAAATTGGCCCTTGCCCTAAGCATTGCAGCTCCATGTCTTAGAAAGTGAATTAGAAAGTTGAGTCCAGGGGCTCTGCCCCTTAGCTCAGTTCTTTAAGTGGCTGCTTCAACAAAGCAGTCAGGCTCAGGTTGCTGTGGTTCCATCCCCACAACTCAAGCCAGCCAAACCTGCCCATTCAGAGCAAAAAAAAAAAAAGTTTAGTCCAAATAATATGATTCAAAGAAGAACTATAGTAATGATATACCATGCCAAATATAAACATCTATTTCAGTGTTTACTCCAGACTGCAATAAAAGCAAGTGCTCAGTAAAATTACAAGCTTTTGCCAGCTCTTTCTTATGATCATATAATCAAGTTTATTTGCACTTTACCTTTCTTTATCATTGTTATTAAATAGCCCTTGACATTTATTTTGTTGGCACGTGCTAACGAACACACACGTTCCCCAGAGAGCAGAGGAACAACCGCAGCCCAGCGCGGTCTGCCTGTGTGAAGCCAATTAAGCCCGGCCTCGGTGCCTGGAGATGCCGGGCTGCAGAGACAGTTGCTGTGGAAACAGGTTTGCCGTGGCATTTCTGGAAGAGCCAAAACTGCGAGTAACTTGCCTTCGAAAAAGAGCTGGAATAAACAGAGCTTTCCTCCACTGAATTTGGACTTTGTTCTATGAAGAATATGGGCTAGACATTACAAAGAAAAACACTTCATACACATCTTATTTTACTATAACTTGGTGTTTCTTTTATTGAATCATACAAATTGGAAAGGGGATTCCTGAATATATCTTTCAGTTAATTTACCTTTGGCAGAAGCAACAGATTTCAGAACATCTAGTGGCTTCTCACCTATATGTAGCTTTTAAAAAATTCTATAGTATTTCAACAGCACTCTTAAACATGTACTTTAAAAGTTAACTGGCAATGATTTATATCATAGCTTTCAAAAGAGAACAAGTACTGAAAAAAGGACAGACTAGACATATTTCTTTTAAAAAATACAATTTTTGGTCATGTGCATGATTCATGTTCAGATTTCAAAAATAGAAAACATCCTAAAGTGCATCATTTTATTTATAACTCCTTGAAATTATAGCCATCTGCAATGTAAACACAGCAAAGAATATCAAACTATATTGTCATGTACATTTAAATTTGTAGGTACCGCCTTTAGGTGTGCAGATTAAAACCAGGGCGTGTTTAGCACGCAGTTCATGCTTCTACGTGGCTAAGAGCAAACACAACGGCATTCATTTCCTGGGCTCCCCGTAGCAGCCTTTACCGGACAGAGCTGCTGCCTCAGGTCAGCTGCTGTGCTGTGCCATTCCTACCTGCCACGTGTTTCTCAAGACCCCTTTTTTGGGGGTGAGGGGGACCAGCAATCACACTCAAGACCTCATGCTTGCCAGGCAGGTGCAGTGTCACTGAGCCATATTCCTGCCCTTCAAGACCCACTTGTACAGCTGACAACCAGTCAGTACAGTTTTACCTTCACTTCTTTATCGGTTAAAATTGTACCCTTGGAGAAGGCCCCTCTCTGAGCAGGAGGGCACCCCTGCGTCTGTCCATCCCACAGCACTGCCTTCAGGAGACACGGCCTGCTGCGCACTCTCTCGTCACAGCCGTGGCTGGGCTCCACCCCCCAAACACAAAGGCAGACACAGAAGGTGAGGAATAAATCACAAGGTCATGTCAAGCACACTGAAGAGATGAATGATTTGGTGTCTTAAATTCCCTGGTCCCTCCAAAATGTCTAATATAGACAGCACTGTAAAACAGTCTTTGAAAACATTAAAAGCAAATTTGGCCACATTTTTTTCTTTCTATACATGATCTTGAAAATAGTTTGACTTAGATTTTGCCTTGAGCTACAAGATTCTGCTTGTAGCTCTGAGGGCTACAGTTACCTGTCTGGATTTTAGTGCAGATTTGCTTTCTTAAAAAACTCAATCTAGTAAGTACTGAGGAGACTGAAGATGCAGGCTTCCTCTTGTTATCCCCAGCATTTAGGCTGAGAATTAAGCAAGACTTGACATTAGGCCAGGGCCACAACTGAACAGGCGACACAGGCATGCGATCCTCGCTTAGCGTTGGCTGGAGAATTGGAGAGCTGAAGGGCAGGACACACTCTAGGCTTCACCGCATTCCTGCTTTTCAGTCTGCATTCACGCAGCTCTTGCTGCAGTCCCTCTGTCCTCTGGGTGATCAGGGCCTGAAGAGCTCTCTCAGCTCAGGAAGTCCTGAGGAAGCGCACCCTCAGGAGGTGGCTGCAGGCCGCAGTGGGCAGCAGCAGTTTCCGTCTTCCCAAGAGCTGGGGGGGAAATCTGTGCAGACCAGCGGGGAAGGCACAGCTCTGCAGAAAGGACACTAGAATGGCCAAAGCAGCAGCAGCAAGTAGGGCTCCAATGCATGGTCACAAGCTCGCTCTGCAGAGCAAGGTCCTGAGCTTGTTTTCATCACAGACTAGAGTGGCCTTGCGGTGATCCAGGGAAGAACACAGCTGTGTCTACTGTAGTGACTCATCACTGCTAGTGCTAGTGAAGAGTGTGTGTGTGTGTGTGTGTGTGTGTGTGTGTGTGTGTGGCCTGCTTGGTTTCCCCACTGTGAAATTCCTCAGGCAGTTCCGAGGCAAGTGCTGGAAACTGGCCTGGAGGCCGAAGGGCTGATGCTCTGCACACCTGGCTGGAGGGGGCTGCCTTCTAGAGCTCTCTACCCGAGAGCAGTAAACCCACCTTGCACCCAACAGCCCCCTGGCTGGGCTGGGCCGAGCCAACCTTCACATGGTCTTGGAGTCAGCGTCTCTCTTGCTGATGAGCACCTCCAAGAGCCTCAGCTTTGCCTTTATATGCCTGTATTCATTGTATTCTTCATTCATGGGAGTGCGGTCTTCCTTCTGGATGTTTCTAGTGGAAACAAAGGAAAGGGGGCTGAAGACCATTCCTTGTCTCTCCTACATGATACTGTTCACCAGGCATTAACAGCATGTGGAGACTGCAGTTTATCAGCGCACAGAATCAGCATGGATAGAAGACCCCTGGCATCAAGACAGGGCTGGACTAAAGTAACTGGTGAAAAATAGTTTTCCCCTGAAGGCACCATAAACCTCAGTTTTCATGAAGTTAATGTAGTATTTTTTAGAAGGACTAACAAATGCAGAAATTCTTTCTTAAGAATGATTTCATGTTATGTAATGTATTAATTATTACAACTGTCCTACTAACCTGTTTTGAAACTGTCTCATTGCTATTTCTTTCTTAATAAAATTAATAATGATTTCATGTTGTGTTCCTATCAACTGAAATCATTTATATGTACTTAAAGCTTTTTAATTTTTGTATATTTTGCCTAATGAACCACTAAGTTTTTAATTACCAATTGGTACAGCCACAAGTGACAAGATTTTTTAAGGACAGATAGGTAATATTCTTAGTTCTAAAATTGGCCTTGGAATTCAGTAGTTGTGTCACATACTCAAGGGTCAGACACTGCGCTGAGTGATTTGTATCTACGATGTAACACACCCAACACCAGCTGGGTACGAAGGTGTCACAGTCACACTCCATTCTTGACACCACCAGAGAAGGCAGCCAGGCAGGCAGCCTGGGGCATCCGTTTCCTGCTGTTCTAGAGTGCGTGTGGGCAGGGGCAAGAGCATGCAGTTTAATTTGTTTAACAAACTAAAACTAAACTGATTTTGCATGTGCCCTGTCTCGTTCTCAGAAAGGATTCTAGGTAGCCCTCAGCTGAGGGCAAGCATCAGGCCTGGGACTTGGCACCTGTCCACAGTGCCCTGGCGAGGGGCTGTGCTGTCCTCAGATGGGAATGGAGCTGTTTTTTTTAGGACTGTAGGGCCCTCAGGTCAAACTTTTTTTTGTATTTTATTAAGGGCCTGTAGGGTTTATAGGGTCTCACTACACAGATCGGACTCATAGTGATTCTCCTGTTTTCAGCCTCCTAAATGCTGGGATTACAGGCGCGTGCTACTACACCCAGTCTCAGTCACCATCTCAGTGTATCCCGGGGATTGAACAGCAGGTCAGGGGATTGAACCTGGCCACTGCGTTCTGCCTAAGCAGGCACTTTAGCCCACTGAGCTATTCGGCCAGCCCCTCATTTTTTTTTCAGGTCAAACATTTTTGATGATAAAGTTAAATTCCAACAATTACAGTTCATAAAAAGTGCTTGTATATGTTACCTAATTATGTACAGCTCTTTGCATATAGGATACTTATTCATAATCTGGGACAGTGGGAATATAAACATGAAGGAGATACAGACAAACCAAAACTATGCCTAAAAGAAGTTAGGAAAGAAAAACACAGCATAATATTAATCACTTTATCTTTGATGGTCTTATTTGAGGAATACTCTTATCTGCTTCTCTATTTTCTCTAAATATCTTGCAACATGCAGAAAACAAAAAGCAAACATCCAGGTATATGATGTATAAATCTTGAGGTAGTCATTATACAACAAATCCAAATCAGAGATATTAAATATACATGTATATAGTAGTTGAATTAACCTGGAACCTAACACATTTAAAATATCAAAGTTAGCTTTTCTGGTGCTTTTCTTTCCCTGAAAGGTGTATGAAGAATAATTTGGACAAATATGAGACCAGTTTTAAATGATCAACCCCAAGTCCAGTTTGAGAGATGCAAATCTAGCTTGGCTCCTGCTGAGCCTGAGCGAGACACTGGTGAGTCACTTGGACACATGAAAAGGAAGATTACTGCTTTGCAGACTGTGTCTGTATTGTTTTCATTCAGCCTGAACCACTATCATCTTTTTTTTTTGTTGTTCTGTTTGGTGCCTCTGACGGAACCCAGGGCCTCATATATCTTAAGCAAACACTACCAGAATCACATCTCCAGTGTTTCTTTTTAAAACAAGCTTTAAAATTTGATAATTTAAAGCCTCCTTTTCCTTATTTCTCCTTTCCCTTATTTTTTAATGGAAATATGATACAACAAAATTTCATAACAAAATAGGAGAATAATAGTTAATAAATTACATGGTATCTTTAAAATAGTTGCTCAGGATACAAGACGTGGGCATAAAAGTTTCTCCAATCACTATTATCACAGACCTTCCTTTTTAATAATTTAAGAGACACTGATAGCATAACTGACTTGCATTTTTCCCTCCTGTCCTTTCCCCTCCCCCATCTTAGTTCCTTTTTCCTTTTGAACATTTTCTTCCAATTTCACAATACCTACTGTATGTTTTAGACCTTATTTATTTTTAATTTCTCTCACTAGAGAGACAATACAATGTTTATAGATGTGTCCGATTTATTTCATTTATGAGTCTGGTGTCCAAGTTGCATTTATTTACTTACAAAAGTCTCAAGTTTATCCCTTTATAGCTGAGTAGTACTGCATTGTATAAAAATAATCTTTTTAATCCATTCTTCAGTTGATAGGCAGTTGGGTTCTTTCCAAGATTTAGCTATGACAAACTGCTATAAACATGGATGTGCATATATTGCTGTGGTATGATGTTTTCAGTTCTTCTGGAAAAATACCCAGAAGGGAAATAGCTGGGTTGAATGGGACTTCTAATCCTTATTTTTAAAGGATTCTCCACGCTGATTTCCATAATGGTTGTACCAGCCTGCATTCCCATCAGCAATGGAGAAAGGCTCCTTATTTCCTCACGGCCCTCCAGCATTTGTTATTGGCTAACTTCTTGATGATAGCCATTTCTTCTGGGATGAGATGGAATCTCAGTGCTGTTTTAATTTGCATTTCTCAATGATCAATAATGTTGGACATTTTTTCATATATTGATTTGCCATTTGTATTTCTTCATCTGAGAAGTGCATATTCACCTCAGATGCCCATATTTAGATTTGATCTTTAAATTTGGGAGGCCTGATTTTTTTCAGTTCTATATGTTTCAGATAGAATTCATTTGTCTAAGGACGACTGGCTAAAATCCTTCTAGTTTCTTTTTTAAAAAGTGCTGTCAACTTGAAATTCAGTAGTAGGCTTCCTGCTTTAAATGAGAATTGTACCTGACGAGTTAGTTTACAAATGCTAGCTGAATCAGCACTGGCCTTAGACCTCAGCCAAGAAGCAAGTGTGACCCTTGTCTAGGGCCCCAGGTGGATATGGAGGAGCTCGGGCAGCCTCCAGGGAGCCCAGCACAGGGCCGGGGAGCAGCGCGAGGGCGAGGAGGAGGGGAGGAAAACGCTCATTACCTTCCATTTTGCCTGAAAAAATTATCTTCAAAATCTCGAAGTTTCTTTCGAATCCTCTTCTTTTCTTCCCTCATTTCCTGAAGGTGTTCCAAGAGCTCAGGTCTAAAAGGTAGAAAAAAATGTCAAAGAAGTTAAATCGGTTAAACCCCGAAGGTAATGAGCGTGCAGCGCGGGCGGGTGTGGGAAGCGAGGGCAGGGGCTGGCTGCACGGCTGGGTGGGCGTCGGCAACAGGCGGCTTCTGGGCTCCCGCTGCGTGGGAGATCGCAGCCCCTGCCCCGCCGGGCTCTTGCTGACAGGCAGGAGGACGAGCGCGTCCAGGCCCGAGCTGCGCACGGCGCCGGGCACAAGCCTGGCACCGAGCTTTCTGTGCAAGCACGTGGCCTGGGAGGGAGCACTGAAGCCTGCCTGGGGTATTTCTCTTTGCAATCACTGTCCCCCCTTCACCGCCCCGGAGCCGGAGAGATATTCAGCGGACTAGAGCGCTTGCTCAGGCAAGCGCAGGCCAACAGGGACAGCCGTTCGGTCCCGGCACCACACGTCGTGCCAGCCCTGCCCGCAGGGCGCGCTGAGCAAAAAGATCAGTGCCCCCCTCCCCCCAGACACATCCTCGGGAGGTTTCTAAGGTTTTGTCAGTTTCTTATTTAAACACAAGGCTAAGATAAACTTTATGAAGACTTTTCACAGAACCATTTCAATACCACTACTAAAATGACCTACATTGAGACCCAGTCCTAGCCCAGGTCCGATGTCTCTAGGGTAGATGGATGTTCAAGAAGAAGGCGGTGGTGAAGGAAAGCAAGAGACAGGAAAAGGAATATTGTGGGACTGTCCTGCTTCAAGGT